AAAAGAATAGAACGCCAGAGCAAAACTAATGTGTGTGCTGAAGGACTGTCGTGCAAATAGTATACACTGCTCTAGCATCCATTTCTCTGCTACGTTCCCTGTTACAAGAATGAAAGTGAGGCATAGGTGAGAAATGCTTGGGTGACCTGCAGAGCCAAAGTCTTAGCAAGTGACATCATTTGATTGTCGCTGCTATTATGTTCTGGCTACATCTCTCCCTCTCTCTTTTTTAAGTACTTTATTGAGCCCCTGAGTTTTGCTTTGTGCTTTTTCTTTTTTAAAGATTTGTTTATTTATTTGAAAGGCAGAGTTACAGAGAGAGAGGGAGGAACAGACAGAAAAATCTTCCATCTGCTGGTTCATTCCCCAAATAGTCGCAATGAGCGGAGCTGGGCCAGGTTGAAGCCAGGAGCCAGGAGTTTCTTCCAGGTCTCCCATGTAGGTGCAGGGGCCCAAGGACTTGGGCCATCCTCCACTGCTTTCCCAGGCACATTAGCCAGGAGCTGGATCAGAAGTGGAACAGCCTGAAATTGAACCACTGCCCATATGGGATGCTGGCACCACAGGTGGCGGCTTTATCTGATATGCCACTGTGCCAGCCCTGCTGTTTACATCTTAGTATATATAAATATTACCTCTCCAACATGACATCAGACCCTTGAAGGTAAGAAAACGCCCTACATGTCTCTCTGGGCATTCAATATTTCCTGAAAGATGAGAACTGTTGATTCCTTAACGGTGGATAGGACTTGTCATTTTTCCACCCAGCCACAGTGACTTTGGGGGTAGAACTCTGATTGACCTTTATGTAGTCTCCTTAGTTATTTATGGTTTCTATCTCTCCTTGGGCCTTCAGTTTCGTTAGAAACTTATGCATGTTGCTTAGGTTTTCCCACTTGCTGGCATGAAGATGCATATGGTATGCTTTTCGTTTTCTAACCTCCTCTGTAACTGCAGTGTGTTTACATGTGCTGAGTCATAATTTGTTGACAGTCTGATTGATGGCTTCCGGTGACAACCATGGATCAACCAAATGGGGGGACTGGATACTTGCCTCCTGGGGAGGACATCTGGGGTTCACAGTTAGGATGCTTGGTATCATGAGCTGGCCTGGGGGATTGCCAGAATGAGTTAAGGCATGAGCAGAAATTCCTGGGGAAGAGATCTTCAATGTCTGAGTGGGAGGGAAGGGGGTTGTGCTTTTCTCTTGCCTAGAATCTTCTGGAGGTGAGAGGGTCCTCTCTGGGCCTCGGGGTCGCCTCTGAGCAACACCAGTGTGATGTGAGGGCCCTCCACAGTTCACTGGGTTGCTCATTTCCCGCCATCTTGCCAAAATGCTACCCCGTGTAGAAAACAGACATGGCAATCTTGACTCCAGAAGACCACCCTTCACGGGAGAGGGTGAAGGGGGCACTTTCCTTCCTCACCCAGATTCTTCATTCCTCACTCAGCCCTGGCGTGGTGTTGCTAAGCCCTGAGAGACAGGACGCAATGGTGTGGGGTGGGAAGGAAAGGGTTGGGGAGATATGGTGGCCAGCTTCCCTCAGGGAGGCCCTGTTGAAGGGGGCAAGCATGATGGTTGATGCCGGGGGTTGCCAGAACCACCCCAGTGGGCTAAGTTTGAGTGATGTACACAGAAGACCCTTTGTTCACGTATAGGGTGGGGGTGTTTGCAAAGGATGATAGCAGAGATGCACTCACGTGTAGACTCCTCACTGTTGATTAAAGATGTAGTGCAGTAATGTAAGTGGTCCATCAAGTGAGGCTTTTGTTTCATTTTAAGCATTTTAGCCACAAACCAAGTAGACCCCTCTCCCACCTTAGCCAGGAGTGACACCAAGTCTTTGTGTCCGGTTAGCTTAACGAGTCACCATGGGACCATCTATAGGGCAGTTGGTCTTTCATTAAGATGAGTAAAGCAGCTGTTGTGGCTATTCCTCCTCTCGGCAGTGTGCAGCCAGCATGAGTCCCGTAGCTCTCTACGCAGTGGCTGGCCGGAAGCCTTGGCGGTGATTGGGGAATCCCAGTGACGTGTGTACCATTGGCTCCGCTTAGCAGCCATTCCTAGTCACCCTGCTGCGAGCGGCCTCCCCATTCCACCCCGAAGTCTCCGCTCCTCACTCACAGTAGGAAGGCATTACCTAGTATCTCTCTTTCCAAATTTCTTGGCAATGCTCTCCATAGAGGAGGCTTGAGCATTAAATAAATATCACTTCTGGAACTCAGTATTTACAACTCAGGCCCACAAGGACAGCATTGTATCATCACAGCTGTGAAGCTTTGGTGGGAAAAGGATGACAACATTTTCCATTTGGACAGCCATTCCTTATCTAAACTTATTAAATGATGAGCAGAACTGTTTGGTGTACACTTTCCCCAGTGGCAGGCACCAAAGCAAACACGCAGAGTTCAGAGTGGTGACACGTTGGCTGCAGTAGTATTCGTGCAAATAAGTCTGCATGGACAGAATAGATTTGGAAACAGCACTTTCTGTCTCTGTGCTCCTTGGACCTTACTCTACTGACACATAAAAAGCACCCCAGGCCTGGCAGCCACCATCCCCAGCAACAACACAGAGGGTACCTGAGAATTTGCTGTTTCAAATCAGAATTCTTTTATTCAGATTTATGGCACTAGTGATGACTTTTTATTGAAAAGCCAATTTAATTCCTTAGTCAATTTTTAAATATGATCCAGTTAAATCATTTTTATATTTCTGAATGTTAATTGATGAAGCATTTTCTATTTTTATTACTCAAAAGTAATTCTCATCAGAATAAATTCTTTTCCATGTGAAGTTTACCAGGAAGAGCTGATTGACCAGTTAGCTTTTGCCCTCCCCAAGTTTTCCTGGTGATGGCTTCTGCTGCTGAGAGTTTGCTTTTATGGGCAGATCCCAAGTTTCCTTTCCGTTTTCCCCTCCCACCCTTACTGCCCTCCACTTCCTGCGGTGCAGTCCAAGTCCAAGGCTCAGATTTTGCAGATGTGAACTTTGCCAATGATATTATTTTAAATTATGCTTTCATCAGTGACCCAGTTTTTTTTTTAAGATTTATTTATTTTGCTTGAAAGTCAGAATTATACAGAGAGAGAAGGAGAGGCAGAGAGAGAGAGAGGGAGGGAGGGAGGGAGAGAGAGAGGTCTTCTATCCACTGGTTCACTTCCCCAATTGGCTGGATGGCCAGAGCTGTGCCGATCCGAAGCCAGGAGCCAGGAGCTTCTTCCAGGTCTCCCACATGGGTGCAGGGGCCCAAGGACTTGGGCCATCTTCTACTGCTTTCCCTGGTCATAGCAGAGAGCTGGATTGGAAGCAGAGCAGCCGGGTCTCGAACCGGCGCCCGTATGGGATGCCGGCACTGCAGGCAGCAGCTTTACCCACTACACCACAGCATTGGCCCCAGTGACTCAGTTTTTAATACACAGTTCTAGTCACTGTCCTGTGGACCGTTTCTGCCTGTGATACACATTATGAGTTGGATAAAATGTGTCATCTAAGTTTTTTTGTTGTGATTATGTTCAGAATTCCTTGATGGTCACCCCTTCCTATAGGGAAGAAATATAAAAATTAAGCAGGTGCTGTAAGTACAGCAGATATGTTTCCAAAGCTAATTTTTAAGTGAGAAGATGACATCCAATGTAGATCTCAGCACCTCTGTCATTGATGGTCTGAACCAATAGAACAGATTGCGATTCAGCTGTTTTTTTCTGTAAAGCAACAGGTAGTATACCTGTGGGGCTTGGCAGTTCACACATTCTCTATCACAACCTCTCAGTTCTGCTGTCATAGCAGGAAAGCATCTGTAGACAGTGGGTGAACTAATGAGCATGTCTATGTTCCAATAAAACTTTATTTACACAGCAGATGGTGTCGTTTTGGCTCACGGGCTGTAGTTTGCCAGTCCTGAGAATAGATTAATGTTCATTCTACTACTTGTTTTACAAAGTACCCTTTATATGTCAAGATTGGACACGGACTGCCATAACGAGAGAGCTTCTGGAATGCGCACTAGAAATGTTCTGTTCCTGCCCAGTTCTCCAGGATCACAGCTGTCAGAAGCAGCTCTGTGTACCAAGAATGTACAGCTCACTGGGGTCATCCACAGTTTTCTTAGAAGAGCTTAACACTCTGAAGACTTAAATTAGAACCAGGAAACTTTGGGGAATGGATAATGAGAAGGTAACTGTTTTCCCACATCACTGGAAATGGAAGCAAAAAGACCCCAGAGACAGACAGGACGGGATAACTATCGATGGGCCATGTCATACATAAAGCAAAAACGAATCCCAAAGCAAAGCAAGGCACTAACCTTGTTATTATTTAGTTATGGTTAGACTCACTAACCACATCCAGGCATGGCTGACAAATTTTGGACTTAACTGGGAAATTTTTACATTCTATACTACCTAAATCCAAAGCTAATAAAACAAGTATAAAACTCAAATTTAAGTTTGGCCCATTACAAAGAGGCCAAAATTCAGCAGGAAAGTGCCAGCATTGTGGTATAGTGGGCTAAGCCTTCACCTGCGGAGTCGGCATCCCATATAGGTGCCGGTTCATGTCCTGGCTGCTCCTCTTCTGATCCGGCTCCTGGCTAATGTGCCTGTGAAAGCAGAGGAAGATGGCCCAAGTTCTTGGGCCCCTGCACCCACATGGGAGACCTAGAAAAACTCCTGGCTCCTGGCTTCAGATCAGCCCAGCTCTGGCAGATGAGGCCATTTGGGGAGTGAAGCTGTAGATGGAAGACCTTGCTCTCTGTCTCTTCTCTCTGTAACTCTACCTCTCAAGTACATAAATACAATCTTTTAAAAAAAATTCAGCAGGCTTTTCTGCCCTGGCACTGAGGGAAACAGGCAGTGTTGGGCGGCAGAGTTTAAGGGCCCGTGGCACATCTGTTTGAGGTGCTGCAAAGCCGGTGTGTTTTGAGGATATAAGAAGGTTGTAACAAGCGTTTCGCACACCTGTCACAGAAGATGGCTGCGAATTAACTCGTAGGACCCACCTGAATGTACTGAAGTGCCAGGAGTTCATGGCAAGCATGTCGGCAGCTGCAGGAGAGCACTCAGCTCCTTAGGCTGTGGTGGTAAAAAATACTTCGTTGCCTCAAGTGTGGTATGCAACTGTTTGGGAGGAAAAATGAACTGGTCAAGAAAACAAGAACAGAAATGAATGATGAAAATTCATGCTTTATTTGTTAATAACTTCATAGTAAATTATATAGAAAAATACATACTTTCAATTGCTGTCCAATAAAGTCTTTGAATAACATATTCTGATAGTCACCAGTGAGATCTGTTTTTTTTTTTTTTTTTTTTTTTTTTACATTAAGGATAACGTGCTCTTGGCAGCAGTGAGTTCACTTGTGGGTGCTGAGTCACTGAGTTGGGCAGCTGAGGAGACAAATGACTGCAATATATTGCCTTCTATTCATGAAAAGTGGGCGATTGGAATCGCCTTACACTGGAGCTCCTTACGTGCTAGGTAATCAAATTCCCCATTATAGGTAACAGCTTCACCTTTTTGTGACCTATTGATTTTACCTTAAATTTTAAATTTAATTCTTCATTTGACTTACATCGTTGTGAACAAAAAACCAAGCCTAATCCCAGTACAAAAATCATAATATGCCACATTAAGGAAAGTAGTGATAGGGCAGGCTGATCTTTCCAGGACTAGAGCTTAGACAATAGAGTTCTGACAACTGAATTCCTTCAGGAGTTAAGACTTAAGTTCAGCTAAATCTCTGTGGAGTCCTAGTTGAAAAGTTGTGTACCCTCCCTATAAAGTCAGAAATGTTTTGAGATACAATATATCTCAAAGCACAGAATAAAGGTCTTAACAATACAGGTTTATAATATGTACAAAGATTTTTGATAGCACTGCTTTTCTCTCTCTCTCTTTCTTTTTCTTTTAAAGATATATTTTACTTGGAAGGCAGAGTTAAGAGAGGGCAGAGGTAGAGACAGAGAGAGAGGTCCTCCATCCTCTGGTTCACTCCCCAGATGGAGCAACAGCCGGAGCTGTGCTGATCCCGAGCCAGGAGCCAGGAGCTTCTTCTGGTCTCCCACACAGGTGCAGAGGCCCAAGGACTTGGGCCATCTTCCATTACTTTCTCAGGTGCTTTAGCAGGGAGCCAGATCAAAAGTGGAGCAGCCAGGACTTGAACTGGTGCCCATATGGTGTCCCAGTGGACTCCTTCCCGACCCTGGTTTCCAGGAAATGGTGTGTCCAGTGGCCACATGCCTTCCACTAGGTGTGCTCCTGGGAGGACAGTTCTGATCCAGGCAAAAACAAGTCCCATGTGCAACAATTAGTTTACGCTTTCTTCGATCTTTGCCTCATACGACTGATTATGAGTCTGATTGCATCACATATGGAAATGCAGACTCTCCTGCTGTCCCGTTGGGTTGGGTTTTACTATAGAGTAGGAGTTTGTGTGTGTTTGTCCTGTTCCTAGCTGGACGGTCAGGTGATTGGAGAGTAGGAGTTCCAGTTTAGTCCAAGTTTCTTCTCAGTAAACAGAGTGGAACTGATCCAAAAGCGACGAGGGGGTGGAAGTCTGGTGCAGCAGTTCAGACACTGTCTGGAACACACATCTCATACTGGAGCGCCTAGGTTTGAGTCCCCATTCTGCTTCCGAGGCCAGTTTCCTGCTAAGGGGCACCATGGGACACAGCAGGTGATGGCTTAAGTACTTGGGTCCCTGCCAGCCACGTGGGAGACTGGTATTAGGTTCCAGGCTCCTGGCTTCATCCTGTTGTGGGTATCTGGAGAGTTAACTAGTAGATGAAATTTTCTCTTTCTCTGTCTGCCTGCCTCAAATAAATAAATAAAAATGAATAAGTATTTTTTAAAAGGACATGTTAAAAAAATGCCCGACCCATGCATCACAGAGGTCAACTCCGCCAACGCCATACCTGGCAGGCTTCATGGATCCCATTCTGAGCCACAGCTCAGTCGGTTTCTATACTTGCCGCTGACTTTTCATTCAACCCTCTTTGTTTAGCCACAGATAAACACTGCTCCTAACTTCCCCCGATGGAAGGAACAAGAAATAACTCCTGTTGGGAAGACAATTGCCAAGGGTTACAAGTCCATGGTCTGCTGAACGGCTGTTCCCTCTGGGAATAATTTGCTTTCCTGAGAAAATGTTCTAGTGATTTTCTGATTTATTTTAATGATCGTAAAAGCCTTACATAGAAGACCCACCCCGCTGATGGCCCTGGGAGTGGATTCAGCCAGTGTTGCAAAGCAGGCATTGCCTCCAGTCTAATGGTGTGTATTTCCTCACTTTCACCTTCTCCAGTAACCTGTCATTAGGAGGAGGCCGGCTTGCCCAGAAGCCTCTCCCTTTGTGTACGATTTGCAGTGCTCACTCCTGATGCTGTCCCCCATCCCCACGTCACTGGTGACCAACGGCTCCCGCTGACCATCCCCAAGGCTATTGTGGAGCTCTCTTATGATGACTATGAGGGCAACCCTTACTGTGGGAAGATGTGCATTACGATTCCTGTCCTGGTTATGTTAAATTTTCTGTTTGGAATTTTTACAGCATAGGCTTAGCTCCACACACCTCCCAGCTGCGTCTTCTCTCAAACTCCGTGGGCTGTCCAGCAGGGCACACTCTGAGTGTGTTATCTTTTTCAGTGTCAGCCAATCCCTGCCTTCTACACCTGGACACTGGTGGAGAGGACAGCAAGGGCATGGGCTGAGGGAAAGGAGTGGCCTCATTTCCCAGGAATGCGCCTCGCTTATCTGGCGTGGTTGAAGTTTGACCCCATAGAACGGAACGTTGCTGCATTGACTTGAGGCAAGAAGGGGCATCAGCCATGAGGACCCCTTAGTTCACACAGCAATGCTTTTGCAACTCCTTGGAAGAGATAGGACAGTTGCCTGTTGCTCTGGATTCGTTCTGAGAGGAGGAGTGCCGTGGGGGCAAGAGGTGTGGAGTCACCACACAGACCCCGGGAGTCGGGTGAAAGTGGGCCAGAGGCGAGCAACCCACAGACTCGTTTATTTCAGTTGGTACAGCAGCTTAAATAGCCAAGGCAGCCAATCCGGTCAAGGGGTGGTTTATGCCCTAACCAATCACAGCCTGTTGCCAGGCAGGCTCCGTTGCCAGGTGGGTTTCAAAGCCTTTCCTGAGTAACTGAGACTCGCTTGCCTGCGGCCATCTTGGCATGGCCTTCTCATTCCACCACAGTTGCCCTTGGAGGGTGGCCTGAGACTGGGACTCAGATCTCCTTGGGGACATGCGGTGACCATTCCAAGGGTCAGAGGCAGAGGAAACACAGGGAGAAGAATGCTGGCTACCATCCACATCCTAGGGTGCTGCAGTGCAGAGGGGACCCCGTGGAACACAGGTGGATGAGAGCAGACCCCTGAGCCCATACACGAGCACAAGGGCTGGCAGGGGGCTATTGGCAGCTCAGAGCTCCAAAGTCCTGCCTGCAACGCAAGTGTCACCTGGAAGGAACACATCACCACCGTTCTGGAAGGCCAGTTTTATGTGCTCTTGCTGCTTGCTACCAGTGAGAGAAACCCTGTGCCAGCCAGTGAACACGATCTGTTTAGCAGACTGCTCTCCTGGAACACTGGAATGTCCCATAGGCAAAAGTCCCAGAGTGATTGCACATCTGGTCAACCCTGGTGAAGCTTAGGGATGCGTAGAGGACAGGGGAGGGGGACTAACAGGGAGAAACAAGAACCAAGGACCACATGGCTCCCAGGCACCAGAGGGGCACTTGTAAAATGTAGAGGAAACTGCCCTCAGGCACAGTTTGGGGGTGTAAGGCTTCTGGCAGCTCCACAGTCTGTCCCATGCCTTAACTTACCCCCTTCGCTGGACCGTTTGTGCATGATATAGAGAAATCTGGTTATACATATACTTCAGATTAAGGGCCCCTTCCCTAAACTTCAAAAGTTCAGTTAAAAAGTATACAGCATGGTCTAGAGAGTGAGTGTCCTCCCATTCCTCAAATTTGTCATTTTTTAAAGAATTTGAGGTCTTTTGGAGAGTCTGATAAGACTCCTTATCAGAAATTGAGCTTCAGGGCCGGCGCCATGGCTCACTAGGTTAATCCTCTGCCTGTGGCGCCGGCATCCCGTATGGGCGCTGGTTCTAGTCCCGGTTGCTCCTCTTCCAGTCCAGCTCTCTGCTGTGGCCCGGGAGGGCATTGGAGGATGGCCCAAGCGCTTGGACCCTGTACCCACATGGGAGACCAGGAGGAAGTGCCTGGCTCCTGGCTTCAGATCAGCGCAGCGCCGGCCGTGGCGGCCATTTGGAGAGTGAACCAACGGACCTTTCTCTCTGTCTCTCTCTCTCTCTGTCTGTAACTCTACCTGTCAAATAAAAAAAAAAAAAGAAATTGAGCTTCAATTCCACATCAACAAATTTAGATTTTAGTAAAATGTAGATTTCACTTCTGAAACACAAACTACCTACCAGAAGGGAAGCAGATCCCCCAAACAACCTGAAGAAGAACACCTTCCCCAGGCTTGACCTTCCCCTGAGCTGGGCTTCTGTCACTCTTAGAGGACAATCCAAAGGATTGGTCAAGTTTGCTGATGTTCATGGTCACTCAGGGCAACTGGGGCTTTGTCTAATGGGGGCAGGTTGAGGGACAAGACCAGTGTGGGAGACTGCGCCATCCCTGTGTCTGGGTGTGTTTCTTGGGAAACCATGGGCCTTTGGGCCTTGGAACTGCCATGGAGACCGCCCTGGCCCCAACAATAGTGTCCTGGAGCTGCTCCTGCTCATGTTTGAGGTCTGACTTCTTTCCCTAGGCCAGTCTTTCTCCACCACTCAGGCTGGGTCAGCTTCCTGTCTTAGACCGAGGGTGCTCACTGCTCCCTCCCTTCCTCATATTTATTCCAACCGTAATGAAGTCGCTGTGGCAGTCATTGATGAATTCCTACTCCCTGTGGAACTGTAGCCTTCGTTTTCTTCCTGGGTGCCACTCAGCAAGTAGCTGCACATCTTTGGGCCCGAGTTTCCGGTCCCCAGACCTAGCCCCAGCGATCTCAATCAGCTCCAGACTCCTCACATCCCAAAACTCTGCCCCTTGCTTCTGGAGTCCTGCACGGGTCCTGGGTCCTGCACGGCCCCTCTGCTGCTCCTGGATTTCCATCCTCCGTCCTCCTCTCCCTGGTAAAACGTCTCCACTCACGGACTTACCCAGTGACGCATTTGCCTTCCCGTAGAAGAGCCTGTCTCTCCACTCACAACACTCTGACACCCAGTGAGCCGCGGGGTATCCTACACATCACTTCCAATACTAACTTCCCAGAATGAATGCAGGTCCCATAGGGGAAGGACTTGGTCCCAGAGGATTGTCCCCCTGCTTCAGACACAAAGCGTGAGGAGTGGGTCCTCAGGTTAACGGCCATTCTGAGAAACTTGGCTATAAATTAGGGGTTCTCCCAGCCCCCTCCTCAGTCTGGTGGGTGGCTCACAGACACCTGGGAGACACTGTGCTAGGGTCTGGCTGTGGTTTATGTTCAGGCGTTGGAGGCTTGGTCCTCAGTGTGGTGACAGAGGAGGTGGTGGGCCCTGTACGAGGTGGGTCCTGGTGCAAAATGATGAGGTCAAGGGCATAGTCCTTGGAGGAAATTGAGGTCATTCTCAGGAGACCCCAGCTGCTTCCCTGAGAGTAGGTTGTCACACAAGAGCAAGGCCGGCCCCTCCCGGTCTCTCTCTGGCTTCCTGTCTCACACCCGTGAACTCCCCCCTCCCCTTGCACATGCTCTCATCATTGTGATTCCAATCATGAGCCAGGCACGTCTGCGTCCGTGTAGTTAGTTCCTCCGCGTGCATTTGCTCACATGTGTGGAAGCTCTCTGAACTCCTCTGTGTAAGATTTTTATTGAGACTCCACTACATAGGCACGGTTGAGCAAATCACTGGCCATTGTGATTGAACTCCATCTCAGCACCTGTGTCCTCCTGGAGGTCGCAGAGTGGCCGGAAGAGCCGGCCCTCTAATCATGCGGTTGGGTCCCCTGACGGCTGGACTCAATCCTAAAGCTCTCTGGGGACTTGGAGCCACCAGTCTTCTCATGAGCAGACCAAGACACTCTTGGCACTCCGGAGAGTACAAGGATCTTACAAAAGCTCTTGTGACAGGCACGGGGGTCTGAGGCCACGCGTTAGAATGCAAGAGGCTTCTATCTCATCCTTAATGCTCAAAAAGTTACAAGAGTTTTGGAAGCTCTGTGCCAGGAATCTGGGCATAGAGACCAAATGTTCATTTCTTATCAGGCCACATCGCAGTCCTGTGTCTCCACCCAAACCTGGCTCCTGAGCCTCTGGACTGTGTACCCAGGTAGCCACCACCGGCTCCAGCAGCTCCTCAGAAGAAACTCAGCCAAAAATCAAACCTTCTCCTCTGTTCCCACAGCTCTCATGCTTCCCATGCCTGCTTGGCTATTGACTTCGCTGTTCTCCATGTGCCCCGAGGCTGGAGCCTTGATGACTTCAGCACAGCCTGCCTCTCACCGGATCCTTCTGAGAACAGTTTTTAAAGGAGAGATCCAGGGACCGGCGCTGTGGTGCAGTGGGTTAAAGCCCTGGCCTGAAGCGCCGGCATCCCATATGGGCACCGGTTTGAATCCCGGCTGTTCCTCTTCTGGTCCAGCTCTCTGCTATGGCCTGGGATAGCAGTAGAAGATGGCCCAAGCCCTTGGGCCCCTGCACCCACATGGGAGACCTGGAAGAAGCTCCTGGCTCCTGGCTTCGGATCTGCGCAGCTCCGGCCGTTGCAACCGTCTGGGGAGTGAACCAGCAGATGGAAGACCTCTCTCTCTCTCTCTGCCTCTCTGCAACTCTGTCTTTCAAATAAATAATAAATAAATAAAGGAGAGATCCAGCAGCATGTCACTCCCTCAGGCCACTGCCCAGACGCTTTCAGTCCCTCCCTGGTGACATGGATTCCTCCTCCTGAGCATGAAGTCCAAGAGCTTCTGTTACCCAGTGCCAGCTGGCCTCCCTTCCTAGCCTGCTCACTTCTCACCCCTTGGATCTGGATGGTCGGCAGCTTTCCTCTTGTGTGTCCACTCCAAATCCCTGGAGGCTGGCCTGCAGCTCTGGGTCCCGGGCAGGAAAGACTGTGGTGACCACATAAGCTTTATCGTGGTCTGTGGCTGGCAGGTGCGGGCAGCAGCAGCAATTGGCCAGGCTGCGGTGACCACGGTTCTGCCTTCCAGCACCTGAGCCTGACTGTGTCCCCCAACCATCTGCGCGCTTTTCCACCTCTGTTCATGTCACAGCCAGCTCTTCTTTCAGAAAGCCTTCTTCAACCCACCGTGGCAGGCCTGACCCCAGCGCCACATGCCCGGGAACCTCCCACAGCTTTAACAGCCTGCACTACGCCACGTGCCAAAGGCATTTTGTCTGTGCCCTTCAGTCTGCTCGCACCACTCTTGGTATTTTACACTTTCCCCGGCTAAGGGAGGAGCTCTCGGAAGGTGCTTTTCACTCACTTGGGTGCATCTCCCAGAGCCTATTAGAGGCCCCTGCACGGCATAGGTGCCTGAGTGGCCTTTTGGGGCTGCCCAAGGCCACACAGCCCACGAGCAGGCAGCAGGCGCGGGAGCAGCCCCAGGGATAGGCATTTGGCACAGTGGTTAAGCTGCCGCTAGTAACACTCGCATCCCATGGCGGAGTGCCTGGGTTCAGGTCCTGGCTCCGCTCTCCATTCCAGCTTCCTGCTAATGTGCACCCTGGGAGGCAGCGGCTGGGTTGCTGCCACCCATGTAGGAAACACACACTAAGTTCTTGGCTCCTCGGGCCGGCACCGCAGTTCACTAGGCTAATCCTCTGCTTGCGGTACCGGTACCCCGGGTTCTAGTCCCGGTTGGGGCGCCAGATTCTGTCCTGGCTGCTCCTCTTCCAGTCCAGCTCTCTGCTGTGGCCTGGGAAGGCAGTAGAGGATGGCCCACGTGCTTGAGCCCTGCACCTGCATGGGAGACCAGGAGAAGCACCTGGCTCCTGGCTTCGGATCGGTGCGGTGCACCAGCCGTGGTGGCCATTTGAGGGGTGAACCAACGGAAGCAAGACCTTTCTCTCTGTATCTCTCTCTCACTGTCTAACTCTGCTTGTTAAAACAAATACACAAACAAAAAAACAAATAAGTTCTCAGCTCCTGGCTTTGGTCTGACCAGCCCTGGCTGTTACACACACTTGTGGAGTATACCAACAGATGTGAGATATCTCCCCATCTGTTTCTCTATGTCTCCCTTTCTCTGTATCTCTGCCTTTCATATACGATGAAAGTAAACTGATTTTTTTTTAACAGAAAGAAGCAGCTGTCGGGTCCCCTGAGTACAGCTCTTCTCCCTGCCTAGTCCCCACCCCCACCGCTGCATGTCCTGTGGTCTCACAGAAGCACATCCCAGGGGAGGCTCCTGCACCTGGTAAGAGACAGCTCCTGTGAAGTCCAGTAAATGGGTAACTCAGCGCTGTCCCAGCTCATTCTGTGCAGCAGGGCAACAGCATCGATCACTAGAACTTCCTGGAAACCGCCCAGTGTGAGAGTCATGGCCAGGCTTGGCTGCCTGTGGCTCCCACCCCCACCCCCACCCCAGCAGGCTGGCCAAGTGGTGCAATCCCCTCTCCAGCCTGCACACGGAGCAGCCTGGGAACTGCTCCATGTCTGCCCCTCTGGTATAAAGAGGGCCTCCTGGGAGGCCAGCCGGGAGAAGAGGCTGGGCTGGCTCTGGGGACGGACGCAGCAGGTAAGCCAGGGCCCTCTCAGCCAGGGTAGCTAAAATGGCCTTCGGGACCCAGGAAGGGACACAGGTGATGGTGCCTCATCATAAGACAGACACCCAGACATGGGCCACCTGTCCCTCAGCTGCCATGCTGGGTGTCACCAGAGGATGGAAAGGGCAGGGTGGCCGGGTCCTCCTGCTTCCTCTGAGCATTGCTGGGGTCCTCGGGGGTGGAGGGCACAGACACAGCCCCAGAGTCACTGTGGCCAAGAGTCTACCAGGTTCTCTCCCAACGCGGGTGAAGAGCAAGGCTGCCCTCGAGTGTGCACCCACAGGTGCACAAAACAGAACGTGGTGTACATAGGAGCACAATCAAAATAAGAAAACAGATCAAAGCACAGAATGGGGTAAACACAAGGGAGCTGGGGAGGCTGCCTGGGGGACAGCAGTGCAGGAGGGAGAGGAATTCAGAGAAGCGCAGGTGAGCGGTGTCCTTGTGAGCACTTGGCCACGGGCTGCAGAAGAGGTCTCCAGGCTGGTGAAGAGGCAGGGCCAGGAGGGGTGAGGTTGGGGGTGAAGGAGCCCAGGGAGGGGGCGTCAGCCCGCCACGCCCGAGCGCCCCTCTGTCCTCACTTAGCCCAGCTCGCAGATCACAGGAGGCAGCAAACAACCACCTCTGCCTTGAGAGCCGTAGAATTTTCTGTTGTTTCTGCTTGGGTTCAGGAGCGGCAGAAGAGGAGGGGCTGTGCTTACCCTTGTAAGTGCAAGGCAGGGTGGGTCCCCAGGGGTTCTCCTGTCCGTTGGATTCAGTTCCGTGTCTGGATTGGGAAGGAACTGGCAATGTGGGCTCACAGGAAGGCCCGCAAGAAGGGGGCAGAGTCTTGGGTCCCATTTGTCCTCGCTGTGTGGCTTTTTGCGAGAACTGTCAACAAAGTCAAATGCAGAGGAGGAGGGGGAGGTGGTGGCTGAGGTCAGGGGTCAAAGTTCCCGTGGTGATCGGATGACTAGAGCAGAACCAAAGACAGCACACACCTTAGTTGAACGTGCTGTGCTGAGGGCAGCACAACCCAGCAGAGGAGCAAGGTAAGACGGCGGCCCAGAACGCGCAGGTGAGGCAGGGAAATTGTCCAGGATGTGACTGCCCACAGCCCTGCAGGCGCCGAGGGGGCGGGGCGAGTGAGGCCCAAGCAGTGACATGGCTGTACGGGATACTCCTACTGCCAGAAATGGGCGAGATGCAGTAGAAACCGTGGGAACTTGCTTGCCTTTGATAGAGAACAGTCAGGCCAAATAAATTAGCAGGCCAGCCCCAGCCCTCCTTGTCCAGGATCTCAGGCTAGCTCCTTTGTGCTCTGGTGGGCATTTGGTGAGAGAAGGGGGACGGAGCACCTGTGGGGTTCAAACCCTGGCTACGCATCAGTCAATGAGCAGTTAGGAAAAATCCTGTACCCAGCCCCAGCTCAGACCCACGAGGCAGACTCCTGGTGAATGGGGCTGGAGCGCTGTGGGGGGTAACGTGACGCAGGCACAGCTGAGAGCTTGTTTTGGGGCTGAGAAAGGTGGGCAATGCCCGGCTTCAGCTGAACTTGGGCTGCTTAATTCTTTTTCATGTTAGGACCACAGGGAAACTAAACCCTCCTTCCCAGGCCACACCACAAGGCCATTTGGAGCCAGGAGGCTCCATAGAGACTGCCTGGCTGGCACACACTTGATTCTTTTTTTTTTTTTTTTTAGCATTTTGTGATGGTTTTATTGGGGTGAAGACACAGGGCGTGAAAGGGTACCCTTGGCAGGTGCGCGGAAATTTTTTTTTTACACACTTGATTCTTTAGAGCAGACTTCTGGCCACAGGCAAGCGTGTGTTTCAACTGAGCTGCCTGGGCGGCTTTGAGAGACACAGTTCTTTGTTCACAGTTCCGGAGGCTGGAAGCCTCAAGAGCACAGCTGTGCCCTGAGATCTGTCTCCTTGGCTAGCTGACGGCCGTCTTCTCCCTGCCTCCGCATTCTTCCCTCTGTGTGCCTCTGTACTGGTTTGCCACCTCTTCCCACAGGATCACCGGTGAGCCCGGGTCAGGGCCCAGCCTGTGCCTCATTTTCCCTTCATCACCTCTGTTAGACCCTGTCTCCAAATACAGTCCCAGGCTGCAGGGCTGTGGTTAGGCCTTCAACAGAGACTATGGGGGACACAACTCAGGCTCCCTGCTGCCCCCGCCCAGCTCACAGATCACACGAGGCAGCAAACAACCACCTCTGCCTTGAGACCCATAGCATTGTTCCCGGGGGACCCACACCAGGGTCTGTGTGCAGGAGCGGCCGAGGAGGAGGGGCTGCACTTGGAGTACGTGAATGTTTTCCAAGGAGCTCTGCTCTTGCTTCTTCTCTCCTTTCATTGCAGACACAGGTGGGTTTCTCCCAGGCTAAATAGTTGCAGGAAACAGTGCGACAACTCAAAGTCTGGCTAGAGGACACTTAATGACGGCTTAATAATCACCTTTCACCCTTCACCAAATGATATTTCAGGCTACACAGAAGCGGGCACCTTGATCGGAGATGACTCCTGCCGGCATGGGCCTGGGAGCCACCATCGTTTGCCTCTTGGCCTGGGCTGGCCTGGCCGCGGGTGACCGGGTGTACATCCACCCCTTCCACCTCCTCTTCTACAGCAAGACCAGCTGTGAGCAGCTGGAGAAAGCCGACGTGGAGACGCCCAAAGAGCCGACCTTCACACCCGTCCCCATTCAGGCCAAGACGTCCCCCGTGGATGAGGCAGCCCTGAACGACCAGCTGGTGCTGGCCGCCGAGAAGCTGGGGGATGAAGACAGGCTGCGAGCTGCGAAGGTCGGGATGCTGGTGGACGTCCTGGGCCTGCGCATGTACAGGACCCTGAGCGAGACGTGGAGTGACCCCAGCGGGGCTGTCCTCTCCCCGGTGGCTCTCTTCGGCACTCTGGCCTCTTTCTACCTGGGAGCCTCAGACTCCACGGCCACCCAGCTGCAGGCATTCCTGGGTGTCCCTGGGGAGGACCAGGGCTGCACCTCCCGGCTGGATGGGCACAAGGTCCTGTCGGCCCTGCAGACCATCCAGAGCCTGCTCGTAGCCCAGGGCAGGCCGGGCAGCCAGGCCCCACTGCTGCTGTCCACGGTGCTGGGCCTGTTCACGGCCCCCGGCCTGCGCCTGAGGCAGCCATTCATGCAGAGCCTGGCTCCCTTTACTCCTATCATCCTCGCGCGCTCTCTGGACCTGGCCACGGACCCGGATCTTGCTGCTGAGAAGATCAACAGGTTCATGCAGGCTGTGACTGGCTGGAAAATGCATAGACCCCTGACGGGAGTCAGTGCAGACAGCACCCTGCTCTTCAATGCCTATGTCCACTTCCAAGGTAAGGCAAATCCTTTGGTCAGTTCTGGCCCTGGGCCTGTGCCTCGGGGTGGCAGTTCTCTGCATGGCGTGTCCATTACATAGCTGAGTTTGGTGGACCAGGCCTTGGAAGTGGACTGGGGCAGTGTGAGGAAGGACTGGGAGACCACCCTGAAGGGGGGAAGTGGTTGCTCCACTGGGTGACTGGATGAGCAGCCTCCCACTCACCTGCTGCCCTACTATGTGCAGCTACTAACCAACAACCAGGGAGAGGCTGTCCAAAGAATGGTCTTTGGGACCACTGCCATGAGAACACACGTGCTATGGTGAACTATGGGCGTATTCCCAGAAGCTTTGGCTGGGGGAGGTTTGAAAGGCAGAAATGTGAAGGATTCCCTGAGATAATTTGAAACAATCATCTCTGGCCATGAGGACTGAAACCGAGAGCGCCACCAGCCAGACGTTGAACACAGTTGCTGGGCAGGCATCCTTGTAGAAGTATTTTTTGCATAAGGTTGAGGTGGCCTCTGTGCAAGGTTGGGGTTCAGCCAGCCTTTTGTGATAGTCAGCGTCAAGCCATCATGCACGAGAACCCTTCCTTCACAACCTCCCAGCTGTTTTTTTGTGTTAGAGTTGACATAAGTGACTTCATTTTGGTCCTGACAACCTTCACGCTACAACCTCTCCTCTCGCCATTGAATGCCCTTCTGAGGCGGCTGAAGAGGCATCGGTGCCTTTGCTTATTGCAGGCAACTGGTGATGGAGAGGGTCAGAGAAGCAGCACAGCTTGCTGGAGATGGCACAGTCACCAGTGGCGATCCCGGGATGCGAACTCCCATCTCCTGGCCCCATAGGCCAGCTCTGTGCTCAGAAGGGACAGGTTTGTGTCCCTTGAGACAGAGACTCTGGCCCCTGCAGAAATGACCAATTTGTTTGCAGAAATCTCTTTCGTGTTGAGGAAAGGTATTACCAAAAAAATTCCTGTTACAATGATCATTTATTCATTCAACAGCACTCTTTGAGGATTTGTTATGCACTTGTAAGTCCTGAGCTGGAAGTCTCAGAGGGAGCCTGAAGAAGGGTGTACAGGGTGATTCCATACCGCTGGGTCAAGGCCAGCATGGGAGGGAGACCCAGTGGGCGAGGTGCAGGCAGAAGCAGAGAGCCGGGAGCCCTCGGAGAGAGGGGGTCGCAGGGGAGAACAAGCCGGGGAAGGCAGAGACGTGGGGGCCCATGGAGGCGGGTGCTGGAACGAGGGAGAGGGTGTCATGGTGGCCTGCAGTGTGTGGACAGAGGCTGGGAGGGCCGTCTGAGCGTCATGTTACAGGGAACGTGCACCCAACGCAGTGGCTCTGAGTTGGGGTGGGTGTGTCTCATAGACGTTGACGAGGCTCCCTCAGAGGGACGCCCACCTTGTAGGGGACGAGAGCTAAACGGGCAGCTGAGAGATGGACCCTGGACCCAGCGGGAGGACCCGTCCTGCGTGCTGGTTTTCTCAGCACGCTCTTGCACTTCAATCACAAAGGGAAAGAGGCCTTGGCTTGTTTTTGGGTACAGGGGGAAGTGGCAGCCTGGGGGATGGCAGCCAGCCGTGGAGGCAGAGGCCAGCCCAGGGCGGGTCTTCCAGTTGAGGTGGTCACACTCCATGCAAGGCAGAGTGGGGACCGGCAGGCTCAGCCCACTGTCCCTAAGGGGAGCCCATTGAGAAAGGAGCACCCCCCCCAAAGCAAAGGCATCTGAAATAGGGCCTTCCTTGGAGACAGGCCCTGTAATTCTGACTACAGAGGCAGACAGGGCTGGCAAGAGGAAGAAGAAAGCAAAACACAGCAGGACCCGGAAGGATCCGGAAGGACCCGGAAGCCCTGATGCTCGCCGTGTCCTCCACACCCTGTCCTTCTCTGGTCCGGCTTCCCAATCTTCCCTGGCCCCAGCTCCCCTCTAGGGGAGACCCTTCCTTCCTGCTGCCCACCATCGTCTGTTCATCAGTGAGATTGGCAGCTGTTGCGAGAGCTCCAGGCTCCCCTCACAGTGCAATGGTGCTCCAGTCAAGTGACCTCAGTGACCGAGGGCTGTGTCCAACCAGCAAAGGCCCAGGGGCGTGCAGCCAGTGAGTGCCAGGGTGCGCTGTGCCCGGCACTGGCTGTCCCCCAGGGCTGGTGACGCTGGTCCTGGAAGGTTCTGTGACTCAGTTGACTTAACCTGGAGAGATTTATCTAACCTCTGGTGGAGGGTGGTGAGCCATGCAAGGCAGACGGGTGGTGGGAGGGCGGCCACTCTCACACCAGATCCCAGGGTCGCTTTGGAGATGGCGTCTCTTTCCTGTCTCGGGTTGTTGGAGGGGGGCAGAATGTAGTCCTCGTGTCCCTTGGAACACAGAGGCCCCCTGCCAGCCTGGTGGGCCAGCATGAGGAATATTTGAGGAGTGAGGCCGCGTTGCTGGGTTTGCACATGCTCTGGTTTCCGGCTGGCTTGTTGCCGGGACGAGGGACAAAGCCACTCTGTTCTCACAAGACCCAGACCCAGGGGCCTCCTCTTAGGCAGCCTCATATTGAGTGTT